AGGACCTATAACAGAGATTGAAACACCTAGTAGACCTCTCTAATTTCAAATCTAGTGTTGATCTTGCTTTTGTACATCTCCTGTGCAGCCATAACCTTGTATGCCTCACTCTGTCTAAGCACCCTATGATCCATATATCCTTGTATATTATGATCTGCCTATATTGCTTGCCAAACAAAACTTTTCACTGTGCTTAGATACATGTGACAACAATAAATCAAATCAAATCAAAACGTTCAATTCCTGTTGTAATAAAGGATAGCATTCAATGATTTTGTGCTGTACCCATATTGTAAATTTTAGTGAATCATGCATCCAAAAATGTAAATCGCTCTGCAACTGATAACTGTGATAACTGACCACACGGTCCATATCAAAAAGCACTTGTGACCAAAACAGATTCTATTGACTGCTCAGTAACTCTCACCCCCAGATATTAATGACACACTGGGTCATCAGATCATAGTAAGCTTCACAAGAGATTACAATGCTTTACTTTTGCTCATCCAATCTTGACACAGGAGCGTGGTAACGTCACACTATAACCCCTGTATTCAAGAGAAGGGAGGGAAACAGAAGAAAGGAAACTGTATGCCAGTTAGCTTGACATCTGTCATGGGGAAGTTGTTATAATTGATCTTAAAGGAAATTATGACTGGGTAATTAGAAAAACTCAAGTAAATGGGAAGAGTCACAGTAGATTTATGAAAGAGTAATCACGTTTAACTAATTTATTGGAGTTCTTTGAAGGAAGAAATTACACTGTGGATAAAGTGAGGTCTATAGACATACAGTTCTTGAAATTCCAGAAGGCATTTGAAAAAGTAAATATTAAAGTTTACTGTGCAAAATAAGAGCTCAGTGTTTAACATGACAGCATGAATAGAAGACTAGCTGGCTGGCAAAAATCAGAGTGTATGTATAAATGAATCATTGTCCATTTAATGGTGTCCTGCACAGGTCTATGCTGGGCCTCAACTTTTTACAATTTACATTGATGACTTTGAGGAGAGGAGAGAAATCATGGCACCTAAATTCTCAGACAGCAACAAAATAGATAGGAAGATAATTTGTGAAGAAGGCATAAGGAAGTTGCAAATGCAGATTGGTTAAATGAGTAGGCAAACATCTGGCATGTGAAATATCATGTCGGTAAATGGGAAATTTCATGATTTGGTAAGAATTAAAAAAAGAGTATTTTGTTAAATGGAGAACAACTACAGATTTTTGAGTTGCAGAGCAATTTACATTTTTGGATGCATGATTCACTAAAATTTATGATATGGGTACAGCATAAAATCACTGAATGCTATCCTTTATTACAACAGGAATTGAACGTTTTGATTTGATTTGATTTATTGTTGTCACATGTATCTAAGCACAGTGAAAAGTTTTGTTTTGCAAGCAATATAGGCAGATCATAATATACAAGGACATATGGATCTTGGGTGCTTAGACAGAGTGAGGCATACAAGGTTATGGCTGCACAGGAGATGTACAAAAGCAAGATCAACATTAGATTTGAAATTAGACAGGTCTATTCTGCAGTCTAATAACAGCAAGAAAGAGGCTGTTCTTGAACCTGTTATTACATGTGTTCAAGCTTATGATCCTGGGCAGAGCAGTTACTCTATCAAGCCATTATACACCCAGATAGAATACTTTCTATGGTGCGTCTGTAAAAGTTGGTGAGGATCCTTGTGGACATGCTGAATTTCCTAAGCTTCTTGAGGAAGAAGAGGCATTGTTGTGCCTTCTTGACCATCGCATCTACATGGGAGGTCCAGGACAGGTTGTTGGTTATCATCACTCCTAGGAACTTGATGCTCTCGACCCTCTCCACCTCAGCTCCACTGACGTAGATAGCAATGTGTCCTCCTCCTTTCCTGCTGAAGTCAATGATCAGTTCTTTTATTTTGCTGACATTGTGGGAAAGATTGTTATCATTTCACCATGACAGCAAGCACTCTATATCCTTTCTGTAGTCTGACTCATCATTGTTTGCTAAATGGCCTACAACGATGGTGTGTCAGCGAAATTGTAGATGATGTTTAAAGTACGAATATCATGCTTTAGTTATATATGAGACAGCTCAGGTACCGTGTACAGGTTTGGCCTGCTTATGTAAGGATATTTGTAGAGGTATTGGAAGTGGTTCAAAGGAAGTTTATGAGGTTGTTACCTGGAATTAGTAGGTTGTTTTATGAGAATAACTTGGACAGGCTACAGTTGTTTCCATTGGAGTCTAGAGGAGTGAGGGCTGACCTAGTTGAAGCCTGTAAGCTCCTGAATAGACTTGACAGAGTGGGCGTGGCATTTTTTTCTCTTAGGGGTGAATCCAGCACTTGGGGTCTATTCTGGCCAATCATATACCTTCTCTATGTTAGGCTTAAAATAAAAAAATGCATCAACCACGTTTTATTTAATAAACAGTAAATTATTGATTTATAATATGGTGAAACTTGTACAATGAATATGCAGAGCTGCTCATCAGAAATGTTTACCTCTCTAAAATACTCAAAAGACATATGCAAGCTGTTGTCTGGTCCCAACAGCTTATCCACCAAACAAAGGAGGGGCCCAGACAGAAAGGCACCAGGTCCTGCTACGCAAAGGAACAAACAGTAGCAAGCCATTGAAGGGCTTTGGCCTGAAATGTTAACGTACCTGCTCCTCGGATGCTGTCTGACTTGTACTGCTTTTCCAGCCTCACACGGAAAGACAGTAGCAAGCCGTAGAAATAATTGACAACGTTTCAAACTATTAAGCAAGTCTCCCTGATTGGCCAAAACTATAGAAAGTTCCAGAAAACTATCCAAAAAGGTATAAAAACAGGGTTCGCCTGCAGATCGAGCTGTTGCACCTTTTGGAGACTTTCCGAAGAGACCGGCACGGCAAAGTGCAGAGACCAGCTAACCGTAGAGAGAGAGAGAGAGAGAGAAGGCAACTTCGCAGTTCCACAGATGGAGAGAGTATGAGTGACTGCAAGCTACTCAGGACATATTTTAAGTTAAAGGGGTGAAATAGGATAAAAAATATATTGTTTAATATTAAAGGCTGTTGTAACTTTGTTCCTAAGAAAGTTGGGACTGTTTTGCATTGGTACCGGCTTGTGTTCATATTGAATTGACAGCTTCTGTATTGTGGGATGCCTTAGCGAATTTATAACATTCTGGTCAGAGTTGTCTAACTTGTTTAAGGAGGAGCTAGACAACATTGGTAAATGCCATAAGATCATGGGGAACCAAGGGCTGTCCATAGAGATGTCCATCATTGATTGTGTATTGACAGGATTGGATGTATAGATTGGGGGGACATGACTAACAATTACATCAGTGTTACATGTAATTATTGTAATGTGAAATGTATAGAAATGCTGTACTAGAGTGGGAGCACCAGTGTGTTCAGTGGGCAGTGTTCTAGGAACCTCTCCCATGTTGCATGGTAAAGAGCTCTGAATAAAGATCAATTGTTTGCCAACTCTCCTCTTTGACGTCTCTCCCCAGCAATTGGCACTGCAAGCAGGGTACTGCACCGGTCTGTTAACGACTTTGTGGGTCCTAATTGAGTGAGCATGTTTAATATTACCACCTTGAGGCAGAGGGCAAGCTCCACAGTTAATCCTGGCTGTAAGTTGCAGCATGAAAAGGACTAAGAGGGAGAAAGGAGTGTGATGTGTTCAGTCGACAATCAATAGACCCAGTCCGCACCAGGTAGGTGTTGAGTACCACAGCAGGATGCCTTGACAGAAAAGCGCGCTAAGGATGGCATAAGACTACGGTAGCCGGAAAGGATCCGGAAGGGATCTTGTCTAAGGACAAAGATAAAATAATATGTCCAAAAGGGTCGTTGGTACAAAGTGCACTGGATCTCAATCAGAAGCTGATCATGAAGATGATCAGGAGGGGGTGTGACCCTGTTGCCCCAATACCAAAGCAGAAAGCTTGGTGGAAGGGAAATGCTAAATGTGAGAAAGCGATTGTAATTCTGACAGCCCTCGTCAGAAATATGGCCAGTGAGAGACGGGAACTGTGAGGGTGGCAGCTCTCAAATGTGAGAGTTTAAAGCCGAAAGGCTGGATGGTGGCCACTGTAGGGGAGGTACCCATTATTACCCTGCTCTACTCAGAGGGCAGTGAGGGCAATGACGTTGACTGGAGTGGGTTAGAGAACAAAGTGTACGTGTACTGACATAGGAATGGTAATGTGTGGGATGACCTGCCTTCCTATAAATCAGAAAGACCTGCACCTATAGCTCCTCTCTGGCCTATAGTTAAAATATTGAAGAAATAGGCAGGGGAATCCACAGGAGAGGAAGGAAATTAACCTCGAATATTTTATTCCAGCAAAGAGGCAAGTGTTACTGAATGAATTGACCAAAGCTAATTGGTTAAAGCTAATTGGAACATCACAAAGCCACCTTGTTTGCAAAGAGTGGTAAAAAGAAATGAGAAACAAAGAAGATAAGGCCTAAAAACAAATTAATTAGCACTTTGAGCTCATGTGTAATTAATAGAGAAATTCTACAGTCAGTGAATATTTGTCACAGCCGAGATTTGTGGAAGCATTTATTAAACCATAAGACCATAAGACATAGTAGCAGAAGTTAGGCCATTCAGCCCATCGAGTCTGCTCAATCATCAAGCATTCAATCATGGCTGATAAGTTTCTCAACCCCATTCTCCTGCTTTCTCCCCATAACCCTTGATCCCCTTGACAATCAGGAACCTATCTATCTCCATCTTAAATATACTCCATGTCCTGGCATCCACAGCCTTCTGTGGCAGTGAATTCCATAGATTCACCACTCTCTGGCTGAAGAGGTTTCTCCTTACTTCCGTTCTAGAAGGTCTTCCCTTTACTCTAAGACTGTGCGCTCGGGTCCCGGTCTCTCCTACCAGTGGAAGCATTTTCCCATCAGCCACTCTGTCCAGACCATTCAGTATTCTGTAAGTTTCAATTAGATCCACCCTCATCTTTCTAAACTCCATCGAGTACAGACCTAGAGTTCTCAAACGTTCCTCATATGTTAAGCTTTTAATTTCTGGGCTTTTCATTATGTGACTGTGTGTTATATAACTGCTGGTTCTGGAATATGAAACTATTGTATGTTTCATTTTCTTTCCAAGCAAAAAATAAACAAAAAGTTAAAAACTGCAATCAGAAGAAAGTAAGAAAGTGTTCGTAAGTGAGACAGAGAGAGAGACACCAGCTTTTTGTGCTGTGGTTCCTGAGCTGAGTGTTAACTCTTCATGATCTGGTTTGTATGCACCTTCGTTCATTGGTTGTTAAATGTGGTCTTGTGTTATATGTATGTTTTTGTTCCCTGGAACTTGAGATCTGAGAATACTTAGAGTTTAGTTTGCATTTTGGGAATGTTTGGTGATTTGAAAGACTGGCTGCATCAATGTGGACATGTATGGTTAATGTAATGTACCTTTGAGGAATGAGCAGTGATTGTCTAAAAGACAAGCCTGCCATGCAATGTTGATTTAAAATTTGTTTCTTAAAGCACAGTAAAAATTTACCTCTTGGAATTGGCTACAGTTGATTAAAGTTAATTGAAGAAGAAAACAGTTAACTCAAAGGACATAACTTACCCCCTCCTTCTCAAAATAATGTACTTTTTGTGTTGTGTTTAGTTTGAGGGAAGTCCTCGATAAATGTTTAATCTCAGAACCTGTATGTTTAAATACCAAATACTATTTTAACTAATGGGTGAATCTTTAATTCCAGTTGATAAAATTTTCTTGTCTTAAATCCTTTCTGGTGTGAAAGTATTCAAGTAATGTGGAAATTGGAATTTTGGAAATGCAATTCTCTTTGAACAGAATTACCTAATGGTATGTTCTAAAATCTGAGAAAACTGATATCAAAGAATTTAAAAAAAGAGCAGAATGTAACAAAGGAAGTAGGCTGTTCCTTCAATCAGAAATGAATTCTAACACAAGACTCTTATTTTTGTACAGGAGAAAGAGAGGCTTTTGACACAATTACATTCAGGATTGTTTACCTTGCCCCCTTTAAATCAACAGTAAACCACTACTAATTAACCCCTTCTGCTTGAAGTGGAATGGATGGATACTGTTTTGTTACGGAAAATGGCACAGAACATTTGGGTGATTCACTATTCCTCTTTTACTGCCTGGAGAGTTAACACAGCAAAATTAGGTTCGAAGCTTTAAATATTCAACCACGCCAAACTTTTGAGTCGGAACAAATGACAGCTATTTTTCTAAATAGCACACTAGATGCAAGTTTAGCCAGAAAAAATGTTTAAATCACTTAAGATTCTTGCAATCTATGACAGCAGAATAGGTGTGACACTCTTCTAGCTGTTTGGCAATTTCTGTTGTGGGAGACCTGAACGTTCAAAAGCACAAGAGTTTTGCTATGGATACAACTGGAATAGTACATGTTAATGGCTGATTGCTGCAGGTAAAAGCATGTACAAGTCAAGACAAAGGTTCTATTTATTTCAGATTCAGTTTGAAATGAATTGTTTTTTGGTCCCTTTGGAAATGATTGTAAATTAGTTAATTCTGCAGTGCAGCTAAAATGCCATTCAGCCTTCTTGTCCTCTGCTTTAGGTGAAACTGTGAATGCCTTGAACAGGGTGCAGAGAAGGTTTACTAGAATGTTGCCTTATCTGGCAGGATTTAGTTATAAGGAGAGATTAACTCAGGTTATTTTCAGTGGAAAGACGGAGGCTGAGAGGTGACCTGATAGAGGTCTACACAATCATTCGAGGCATAGATAGGTTGGATAGTCAGAGGCTTTTTCCAAGGGTGGACAGGTCAACTACAAGACAAAATGCAAACCTTACACATCTGACTGTTCAAAAAAACATCAACCTCCTTATATTCACTCTGCACAAAGATCAAAGTCTGCGAACACACAATTATATTCAACTAAAGCAACAGTTATCAAAATTGTGGAATTTTCCTGCCAGTATCAACACAGTTTTTGGAATTTTCTGCAATTATTCCACAAGGAAAATGGTACAGTTTCTGTGGAAAACATGTTTTCTGTCCTGAGCCACTGCTTTTGCCTATAGCGCCCCTTACCAGAAGACTTGCTGTCATTGCATGTACAGTCCCTGGTGCTGTGAGGAATTGAGCCATTGTGCTGCCCTATATGCAAAGCTAGCTGCTAATAAACTTCCAGCTGTGTGATTCAATACAAATGTGGCTCTCTGGTAAATGTTACCCAGGCTAACATATAGAAAACCACATTGCACATCAGAGCTCTTTTGCTCTTACACTTTAAGGAACCTGTTCACTGCTCTTATTGGTTATATCTGGAATTTTATGCATATGTCTTAGCATTTACAGAAATATGGCTGAGGGAGGGACAGAACTGGCAGGTCAATATTTCAGGATACAGATGCTATAGGAAGGATAGGGGGAGGCAAGAGAGGAGGGGGACTTGTGTTTTTGGTTAGGTAGAACATCACGACTGTACGGAGAGAAGACATTCTTGAGGGTTCATTCACTGAGTCTGCATGAGTAGAACGGAGAAATAAAAGCGGGGGTGTGTGTGTGGAGATTATTTTTAGACCATTTTACTGTAGACCCCCAGTAGTCAGCAGGAGATTGAGAAGCAAAAAAATGTAATAACAACAGGTAGCTGCAAGAATAAAAGGGTTGTAATAGGAGGGGATTTTAACCTTCTTAACATCGACTGGGACTGTCATAGTGTTAAGGGCTTGGATGGAGTGAAATTTGTTAAGTATGCTCAGGAAGACTTTCTCATGCAGTATGCCGATGGCCTACTAGAGAAAGCACAAAATGTGACTTCCCGTTGGGAAATAAGCAGGGCAAGTGACAAAAGTGTTAGTAGGGGAGTACTTTGGGACCAGTGACCATAATTCCATTAGTTTTAAAATAGCTATGGAAAAAGTTAGGCCTGGTCCATAAAGTTCTAACTTGATAGCCTTAGATGGGAACTTTCAAACATTGATTGGGGGATTCTGTTTGCAGGCAAAGGGGCATCTGTTAAGTGGAAGGCTTTCAGAAGTCAGTTAATGAGGGTTTTGGATGAACATTTTCTTGTTAGAGTGAATGGTAAGGCTGGCATTTGTAGGGAACCTTGGATGATTAGAGATATTGAGGCCCTAGTCTTGAAAAAGAAGGAGGCATATGACATATATAGGCAGCTGTGATCAAATGAATTCCTTGTGGAGTATAGAGGGTGTTGGAGTACATTTCAGAGAGAAATCAGAAGGGTCAAAAGTGGACACGAGATGGCTTTGGCAGATAAGATAAAGGAGAATCCAAAGAGATTCTACAAGTACTTGAAGGACAAAAGAGTAACTAGGGAGAGAATAGGGTCTCTTAAAGATCAACAAGGTCACCTACGTGCGGACACACAAGAGATGGGTGAGATCCTAAATGAATATTTCTTGTCAGCAGTTACTGTCAGGAAAGGTATGGATGCTAGGGAACTTGGGGAAATGAATAGTGATGTACTGAAGAGTGTCCACATTACAGAAGAGGAGGTGCTGGAAGTCTTAAAGTGCATTAAGGTAGACAAATCCCCAGGACCTGATGTAGTGTATCTCAGGACATTGTGGGAGGCTTGGGAGGAAATTGCAGAACCCCTCTTGGAAATATATCATCGACAGCCAAGGGTGAAGCGCCCAAAGATTTCAGGGTGGCCATTGTTATACCATTATTTAAGAAAGGCTACAGGGAAATGCCTGGGAACTACAGATCTGTTAGCCTAATGTCTGTGGTGGGTAAGTTGTTAGAGGGGATTCTGAGAGACAGGATCTACAGGCTTTTGGAGAGGGAAGGACTCATTTGGGATAGTCGGTATGGCTTTGTGCATGGGAAATCATGTCTTATGAATTTGATTGATATTTTTGAAGGGGTGACCAAGAATGTAGATGAAGGCAGTGCAGTAGACATTATCTACATGGCTTTGAAGGACAAAAACAAGGCCTTTGACAAGATACTGCATTGTAGGTTGTTGAGTAAGGTTAAATCTCACAGGATAGAGGGAAATATAGCCAATTGGATACAATATTGGCATGACGGTAGAAGACAGAGGGAGATGGTAGAGGTTGTTTTTCAGACTGGTGTCCTGTGACCCGTGTTGTGCCACAGGGGTCGGTGCTGAATGCACTGTCATTTGTCATTGGTATAAATGAGTTAAATGAGAATTTTTAAAGTTTGCAGATGACACCAAGATTGAGGGTATTGTGGACAGTGAAGAAAGAATGCAGTGAGATCTTCATCAACTGGGCCAACAGGCTGAGGAATGGCAGATAGACTTTAATTTAGATGAATGCAAGGTGTTGCATTTTGGTAAGTCAGACCTGAGCAGGACTTACACAGTCAATGGTAGGGCCATGAGAAGTGTTACAGAGCAAAAAGATCGAGGTGTACAGGTTCATAGCTCCTTGAAAATGGAGTCACAGGTAGACAGGGCAGTGAAGAAGACTTTCAGCATGCTACCTTATATCAGTCAGAGCATTGATTATAGGAGTTGGGATGTCGTGTGTGGCTGTACGAGACCTTGGTGAGGCCACATTTGGAATACTGCATGCATTTCCAGTGGCACTACGATAGAAAGGAAATGATTAAACTAGAAAAAGTGCAGAAAAGATTTATTACGATGCTATGTGAACTGGAAGGTTTGAGTTATAAGGAGAGTTTGGATACGTTGGGACTTTTTTCCCTGGAGCTTAGGAGACTTTGGGGTGAACTTACAGAGGTATATAAAATCATGAGAGGCACAGATAAGGTAGATAACCAATAGCTTTTCCCCATGGTCAGGGAATCTAAAATTAGAGGGTATAGGTTTAAGGTGAGAGGGGAGAGGTACAAAAAAAGCCCAGAGGGGCAATTTTTTCACCCAGAGGATGGTGAGTGTCTGGAATGGCCTGCCAGAAGAAGTGGTGAAAGTGAATACAGTTTTGTTATTTAAGAAACATTTGGACAGGTACATGGATGGAATACGTATGAAGGGGTATGAACCAAATGCAGGCAAATGGGATTAGTTTAAATTGTGGCATAGGCAAGTTGGGCCAAAGGGCCTGTTTCCATGCTGTAGACCTCTATGACTCAATTTGCATTTCAAGTGTTTCTATTTTACACCACAGATCTTTACTTATTGTGCGTTTTTGAGACATGTAGGGAAGTGGTTAGAATGTTGTGTCTTTTCCATTCTTACAAGTTTAAGTTTTTGAATCGTTAACATAACCTTAACCTTTACAAAGTTAATTCTGGTTATCTCTATCCTTCTGACTCCGGTGTGTATTGATTGGGGACAGTTATACACAGTGTTTACCATAATTCAACAAACCTGACAGCAGATGGACATTTGAGGATCCTGGCAATTCCAGGGATTCCTTTGCAGGCCTCACATTGTTCAGGGTGTCCTGTTTAACTATGCATTAAAATATAAAGAACTCAATGACAGGAAAGGAGCAAAACAGATGCAGGAAGATGGATGAAGAAAGTTAAACGGGCAGGAAGTCAATGTTCAGTTTTTTGGAAACCGGTTGAAGTTCAGACATTAAATTAGCGGGAAGTTGCAGGTAGGTTAGCCTTCCTGACAATGAGGGTGCGCTATCTGTGAAAAAGAGAGCACGGATGGCTCAGAGGCAGCAGTAGTGAGGCTGCATCCTACCTGCCTCCAGCTCAGACACTGACACCTCGGGTTAGGGGTTGGGGGTGGGTAGGGGAAGGTCTTTTATGGATATTAGAGATGGGAGCACCAGCGACGGGGCACTTTTCAGCCAAAGAAGAAATGCCCGAAGTTGCTGGCACTGTGAGGACTGCTGGAGATCAGGCCCTCAGTCGGTCCCAGCTAGGAAGGGAGTACATGGTGCTGCCGATCAGGTACGCCATGCAATTGTACAATTAGAGGTAGGGACAGCAGGCAGGTTTGTGGGGGATCAATGACCCCCCATAGCCCAATGGCTGCAGGAATGCAGTATTGTCATATGGACACTGCTCTTCACCGGGCATGTGATTTTCTGCCTGTCTCCATGGACAGGTTGGCAGATGCCATGGAGAGCCTGGTCCAGCCCTGTCTGAGCCTGAACGATATGCAGACAGACCTGCACACCATCGCCCTAGTCATTGGCTCTCAACACCCCAGTTACGTGACAGGAGGATGATTTACCCTGAGCTTATTCCTCCTTCCTCACAAGGAGACTGGGCAGTGCCAGTAGGCACCCAGCCAGAGGAGGAACCACAGACAGGTCCCCCAGAGATCTCTTTTCTCAATGCTCCAGAGGTGACAGGCCTTCCACCTCCACCTCGCCTGACAGTCTCAGACAGTGTCGGGTCAAACCCAGAAGGGAGCACATGCATCTGGCAAGGACACCCTCAGCATGTTTGGGCCCTTTAGACACAAATACTCCTACCCCAAAACTCCAAGGCCAATGGGTTCTGCTGTTTGGCAGGCTCCCTCCACTCCAACTGATGACTGAGCCAGAGATTGCCCCAAGACATGGTGAGAGGGAGGGGGAGAAATAAGAAGACCCTCTGAGAGCACATTTGTGACACTGTGTTGTGAATACACGCTCACGTTTGTAAGTCTGTGTGTTTCACCTTCACTGTATAGGTGTGTGTTTACTGGTGTTGCCCTTTGATGGGTCCCAATGGGTCCTATATAGCCTGAAGTTGCAGACAGCCCCTCACAGTTAGCAACACTCACCCTGTCTACTCCCAGTGCAGTCACAGCCATTTTCATTTCCATTGTGGTTTACAAAATGATGGAAGAATGCAATGTTAGGAGATGTGGTGACTACATACAATAATTTCCTTTTAATAAGAATTTCACTGCTGCCTGGCAAGTATCTCAACTTGGCTCCTGGATCTCTGTTGAAAAATGCCAGTAGTTGCTCCTGATGTCAAGAAAGGCCTCATTGGACATTTCACATGATTCTCCCAGATTTCCCACCAGAGCCCATATCGTTCAGGGCCTGGCAAGATTCTGCTCAGAATTTCATTCCTGATAATGAAATAGTGACTTTTTTTTTCGGTGTGGCTGTGTCATCAGCACCAATAATATAACAGAAACCAAGGGTGTTGATTTAGTAAAACCGAAAGAACTGTAGATGCTGTAAATCAGGAACAAAAACAGAAAAGCTCAGCAGGTCTGGCAGCATCTGGGAAGAAATGATGTGGAGTTACCAGTGTTGGACTGGGGTAGACAAGGTCAGGAATCAAACGACACCAGGTTATAGTCCAACCTGTTGAACTATAACCTGGTGTCATTGATTTTTTTTCTTCAGTGTCAGAAATCACGAGTTAATGTTTCAGGTCCAGTTATCCTTCCTCAGAACTGAGAACTTGAGTTCTGAGGAAGGGTCACCAGACCTGAAACCTAAAACATTAACTCTGATTTTTTCTCGGCAGATGCTGCCAGACCTGCTGAGCTTTCCCAGCAATTTCTGATTTTGTTCCTGACGTTGGTGTGTTATTGAGTAATAACTTTCTGACCTCAGTTTAAATTGTTTGTTGTTTACGTTTTCAAATGCTGCAGAACATTATTAAATGCTGGAATAATTAAGTTTCTCTAGGGCAAGGTGTGCTAAAGTTTAACAGACATGTGAATTCAGGATCTAATTCCTGCTGTTTGCTTAGATTCTAAAAAAAGCCTTCATTATCAAAAAGAAGATTGTGGATGAGAACTTAACCCTATTTCTCCCTATCACCTGATCACCAAACTGCCATTCTTAGCCCACTGTTTGTTTAAATTGTTAGCATTCCCAACTCCTTAAGTTCAAATCCATGCCAATTAAAATCTTCCATTATCACACCTGCCTCAAAAATGCATACTTGAACCCTCTTTACTTGAAAAATTGAAAGAAGCCAACTGTATGCAATATATATTTAAATAACACTGAAACAGCAGCATGAACGTGAGACAGTTCAAGGGAAACCTCAGACACAACTGTTGTCTTGATTTTTAAGCAATCAACTTCTGGTGACAGAATATAGGATTTTAGAAGAATTTTATTTGAGGGACGTAAGGAGAGATCTGCCTCAGTTATTAGACCAAAGTAAAGCTCTAAAGCACACAGAAAAGTTGAATATCTTATGTTATTTGCATCCTCTTATCCACATTCAAATCCTTCTTGATACATAAAAATAAAACAGATATCCCTCTGACTCAGAGGGTCATGTGAAATGGCCTCCTTCACCCAGTCAGGGAGTGAACAATCAATCTTACGTAGAGGTTGCTGTCTCTTCCCTTAAAAGTGTCTGTCCTACACTGTTTCCTCTCAAGGCCCTCTTAGAACGTTCTCATTAATGTTGTCTCTTGTTTATGTAGGTGCCTGCAGGGATCCTCCTGACACAAGTCTCTAAGCTGCTTGAGCATCAATCTATGCAAAGTTGAAAAAAAAATCAAAAGAACTGTGGATGCTGTAAATCAGGAACAAAAACAAAGTTGCTGGAAAAGCACAACAGGTCTGGCAGCATCTGTGAAGGAGAAAACAGAGTTAACGTTTCGGGTCCGGTGACTCTTCCTCAGAACAGTTGAGTATGGTCTGAGTATGCAAAGTTGAAACCTGCCTTCTACTTATAGTAAGGAAGAATATTTAGAGTATTAAAATCTAAGTACCTTAAATAGTACCCACATTTGGCACCATGGCCTAAGGTAGCCAATACCTGGGTGTCATCCCTGTCCTTTACGCTCCACCACCCGTCAATACCTGCCAGGATACTTGCTTAGGTTTGTAAAGGCAAAGGGTTAAACCGTCTGTGATATTAGGTCCTTCAGTCGAGGCCACTGACCTAATTGTCCTGGTTTCTGAATCATCACCGCCATCTTCTGTATAATCTCCTGGTGCCATAAGCCAGGCATGTTATTTGTGAAATCCAAGGCATGGGAGACCATCTAATCCATGGGTGAATTTGGGCATTTGATCCATGATTCCATAGTTCCTTCCACACTGTTCTGCATTTATCTCTGCCTCTATATCATGCAGGAATTGTTGTTTCTAATCTCCTGTTGAGGCTGTTTGCAGAGCTTCCACACACAGTGTTTCACTTACTCACTCACTGGTCCTTGCTCCTTACTCCAGTTGTTACTGCAGACACTAATCCCTGGGCAAGCAGCTGTAGCCTCCTTAGTGGCTTAGTGATTGCTCAATCCAATGTGGGCTGTGATCTGGATTAATGCTGCTTCTAACAGTACCTTCACAGCTTGCACTAAATCTTCATTATTGTGTAATTTTTTATAAATAGAATCTTTACAGTGTGGAAACAGGCCATTTGGCCCACAAAGTCCACACCAAAGACCATCCCACCCAGACTCACCCCCACAGCCTATTCCTGTAACCCTGCATTCCCCATGGCTAATCCACTAACCTACATATCCTTGGACACTATGGAGCAATTTAGCATGGCCAATCCACCTAACCTGCACATCTTTGAACTGTGGGAGGAAACCAGAGCACCCAGAGGAAACCCACACAGACACGGGGAGAATGTGCAAACTCCACACAGACAGTTGCCGGAGGGTGGAATTGAACCCAGGTCCCTGACACTGAGGCGGCAGTGTTAACCAATGAGTCACCATGTACATCTTCTTTAACTCCAAGCTTCCATATAATTAGGTATTATCTTAACGTTGCATTTAATGTCTGTATAGGGGTTAACTTACTGAATCACAGAAGTCTTACAGCACAGAGGAAGGCCATTTGGCTCATCATGCCCGTGTCAGCTGTTCAAATGAGCATCATTACCTATTGCCAATCTTTCCATACACTTTACATTGTTCTTCATCAGTTCATTGTTGAACCCTCATGAATACTTGAATGTAGTAAGACAGTGTGTGTTGTGGTTGGTTGGCTCGCTGAGCTGGTTCGTTATTCCACAGATGTTTCATTACCCTGCTGGGTAACATCATCAGAACAACAAACCAGCTCAGTGATCCAACCAACCACAACGTCCTCAGCCTGAGCTACAAATCTACTCTAAAAACTTAGACACATTGTGTGAGGTAATCTGTACTGAAAGTTTCAATTTGATTCAAGGTTCCCTTTTTATTGGCACTTAAACAGAAATGCCTTAATTATCAAATCAAATGAATTTAGAAGATCCTACGATTCTCTCTTTCCCTGTATAATTTGCTGTTTTCAAAATCAGTTCCTCTATGGATTGTGTAAAAGTATGCTTTTTTTGCTGTTCTGGTCAAAAGATCAAAAGTTGGCAGGTATGTGTATCCTTCCAACTGAGTCCCAATGTGGTGGTCAAGTCATGCAGTCTAGTTCTATTAAAATATTCTTGGTCAAGGGCACATGTATCTTCAAAACAAAGTTGTAAGTTAATTTGTTTCTCTTGAAATATCCCATTTAATTATACCTAACATGGGATTATTAACATTTAATGTTGTCATTTTCCTGTCACTATCCAATTAAAATATTCTCACAATATTCTCAAACAGAAAATACATTCTTGTTTGAATACAGAAACTAAATGTTATCCCATGTTTCTGTTTTACAATTTAGGTATTTCAGGTTTCCTAGAGTAACTTGCTAAATTTCTTTAAATATTTCCTTTCTCAAATTATTCCAGATTCAAACTAAAGGGTTCCCTTTAGTACTTCTCACCTCCCTGGAAGCTACTTCTGTGTGTATTCAGCCTTGCTCTTAACTGAAAATTTTAATGTTTACAACTGATACTAAACCTTTAGCACCACCCAACATTTGCCGATTCTTGTAGGGGTGCAGCTATTCTGTGGAGCTTTTCAAAAACCTCCTACAATAATCAAATAATTCCATTACCTGTCTTGCACATTCACTGGCCTTGGCAGTCCATTGTGTCCTTTTGACTGTGAAGAAGTTCTCATTTCTTTGTTCAGGATGGCTTTAAACCCAACTCATCCAGTAGGTCATTGATCTCCTTAACAGCTTCCAGGTGCTCACAGGATCATCCATATATGACATTATCCTGCCGCATCATGTATTTTTCCCATTGAGTGCTTAAAATAGCAACTTTTATCAAATTATATATCAATCCCAATTTCAGAAATAATCCTGTACAGGCTTAGAGATAGTAGGAACTGCAGATGCTGGAGAATCCGAGACAACAAAGTGCAGAGCTGGATGAACACTGCAGGCCAAGCAGCATCTGCTCCTACGATGCTGCTTGGCCTGCTGTGCTCATCCAGCTCTGCACCTTGTTATCCTGTACAGGCTCACTGGTTTTAAATGGTTCTTTTTAGATTAGAGACCCAAGCGATCAGAGTTAGTTTAAGGTTCTCGCATTTTCAAAGCCTTTAATCAAACTTGGATGTCTGCAAGTTTCCAAAATCACACACCTCAATCAATATGTAGCTGTACCTACTAAAGAAGGGACAAAACTCAACCTTCTCATTGGAAATAAGGCAGAGAAACTGACTGAGGTGATAATGGGGAAGCATTTTGGAACCAGTGATCATAATTCTATTAGTTTTCAAATAGTTATGGAAAAGGATCAGCCTGATCTAAAAGGTAAAGTTCTAAATTGGAGTAAGGCCAACTTGGATGGTATTAGACAGGAACTTTAAAACGTCGACTGGGGGAGGCTGTTTGCAGGTGAAGGGACATCTGGCATGTGGGAGGCTTTCAAAAATGAGATAATGAGTTCAGAGACAGTATGTTCCATTAGTGTGAAAGGGAAAGCTGGAAGATGTAGGGAACACTGGACGACTGGAGATATTGACGCTCTGGTCAAGAAAATGAAAGATGCATATGTCGTGGGAGGCAATGGCCTGGTGGTATTGTCGTTTGACTGTTAATCCAGAGATCCAGATAATATTCTAGGGCCCTGGGTTCAAATTCCACCATCTTGTCAGGAAAAACCCATCTAGTTCATTAATGTCCTTTAGGGAAGGAAACTGCTATCCTGACCTGGTCTGGCCTACATGTGACTCCAGACCCACAGCAAAGTGGTTGACTCTTAACTGCCTTCTGGGCAATTAGGGATGGGCAATAACTGCTGCCTAGCCAACAATGCCCTTATCCTGTGAATGAATAAAAAGGCATTTCTAGACAGCCGGGATCAAGTGAATCCCCGGAGGAGTACAGAAGGAGTAGGAGGGAAATCAGGAGGGTAAAGAGGGGACATATGATAGCTTTGGCAAATAAGGTTACGGAAAATCCTCAGAGATTATCATATAGATTAAGAGCAAAAGAGTTACTAGGGAGAAAATAGAGTTCCTTCAAGATCAATGAGTCTGTATAAGTGGGGAACCACAAGAGAAGGTTGAGGTACTAAATAAATATTTTGCAACAGTATTTACTGTGGAGAAAGGCATGGAAGCTGGGGAAACTGGGGAAATGAATAGTGATGTCTTGAAAAGGGTCCACATTGCAGATGAGGAGGTGCTGGAGGTCTTAAAATGCATAAAGGTGGATAAGTACCCAGGACCTGATCAGGTGTATCCCAGAATATTGTGGAAGACAAGGGAAGAGATTATGGGGCCCCTTACAGAGGTATTTGTATCATCAACAGCCATGGGTGAAGTGCTGGAAGACTGAAGGGTAGCTAATGTTGTGCCATTGTTTAAGAAAGGCTGCAATGAAAAACCAGGAACTGCAGACCAGTGAGTCTGACATCAGTGGTGGCTAAGTTGGTGGCCAGGATTCTGAGAGATAGGATATACATGCATTTGGAAAGGCAAGGACTGATTAGGGCTAGTCAGTTTGACTTTGGGTGTGGAAGATTGTGTCTCACAAATTTGATTGTATTTTTTTGAAGAGGTTGGGAGTGGCATATTTTAAGATGAAAGGAGAAAGATTTAAATGGGACCTGAGGGGTAATCTTTTCACACAGAGGATGGTTCATACGTGGAATGAACTGCTGGAGGAAGAGGAAGAGGGAGGTGTAGTTACAACATTTAGAAGACATTTCGACAGATACATGAATAGGAAAGGTTTAGAGAGATATGGGCCAAATAGAGGTAAGTGGGATTAGTTTAGTTTTGGAAACATGGTCAGTATGGATGAGTTGGACTGAAGGGTCTGTTTCCATGCCGTATGAATCTATGACTGTCTGACTCTAAGATAGATGAAGGCAGAGTGGCAGACATTGTCTATATTCACTTTAGCAAGGCATTCAACAAGGTCCCGTATGGTAGATTAGTTAGTAAAGTTAGATCATATAGGAACCAGGAGGAGATAGTCAATTGGATGCAAAATTTGACTGATGGTAGAAGACAGAGGGCGGAGATAGAGGGTTGTTAGTCAGACTGTGAACACCAATATGCCGCAAGAATTGATTCTGGGTCCACTGTTGTTTGTCATTTATATCAACGATTTGGATGAGAATATAGGGGGTATGGTTTGTAAGTTTGTGGATGACGCTAAATTGGTTGTATCATGGACACTGAAGAAGTTATCTAACAAAGAGATCTTGATAAGATGGGCCAATGGCTGAGAAGTGTCAAATGGTGTTTAATTTTGATAAATGTTGCATTTTGGTAAGGCAATTAATGGTAGGGCACTGGGGAGTGTTGTTGAACAGAGGGACCTAGGGGTGCAGGTTCATA